TAAGATTCTACATTTAGGCAAGAAAAACCAAATGCACAGGTATAGTATAGGTGGTATCTTGCTCAATAATAGTAACTGTGAGAGGGATCTCAGAGTCCTAGTAGACAATCACTTAAATATGAGCCAGCAGTGTGCTGCAGCTGCCAAAAAAGCCAACACAGTGCTAGGCTGCATTAACAGAAGGATAAATCAAGATCACATGAAGTGTTAATACCACTTTACAATGCCTTGGTAAGGCCACACTTGGAATACTGCATCCAGTTTTGGTCACCACGATGTAAAAAAGATGCTGAGACTCTAGAAAGAGTACAGAGAAGAGCAACAAAGATGATCAGGGGACTGGAGGCTAAAACATATAAGGAACAGTTGCTGGAATTGGGTATGTCTAGTTTAATGAAAAGAAGGACGAGGGGGGACATGATAGCAGTGTTCCAATATCTCAGGGGCTGCCACAAAGAAGAGGGAGTCAAGCTATTCTCCAAAGCGCCTGAAGGCAGGACAAGAAGCAACGGATGGAAACTAATCAAGGAGAGAAGCAACCTAGAACTAAGGAAAAATTTTCTGACAGTTAGAACAATTAATCAGTGGAACAACCTGCCTCCAGAAGCGGTGAATGCTCCAACACTGGAAGTTTTTAAGAAGAGACTGGACAGCCATTTGTCCGAAATGGTATAGGGTTTCCTGCCTGAGCAGGGGGTTGGACTAGATGACCTCCAAGGTTCCTTCCAACTTTTATTATTATTATTATTATTATTATTATTATTATTATTAGTAGTAGTAGTAGTAGTAGTAGTAGTAGTACTACTACTACTACTACTACTACTACTACTACTACTACTGTGAGTTCTAATCCCGCTTTAGCCATAAAAGTCAATTGGGTGACTTTGGGCCAGTCACGTTCTCTCAGCCCAACCCACCTCACAGGGTTGTTGTTGTGGGGAAATTAGGAGAAAAGAAGTATTAGATTCTGCCTTGAGATGAATAAAAATAAGGATGATATTAAAATTGAATAAATACTATCACTACAGTTGAGCCATAGGTTTGGATCCCCATCTTATACTTAGGAATCTGTTCCTCCACTTCTCTGTTCTTTTTCTTCCAGATTAATGTGTCATTTTCACTTTTCATCTTATTGTTCTTTTTCCTCCAAGCATGCAAACAGTTTTGCAATGGAGTTTTCTGGTGACTTTCTCAATGTTTGATATACAATAATGACATAAACTCACCCCATACTTGCTTTCCAATTACAAAACATTTTTTCACTAAGAATAGCAAATTAAGCATAAACAGAAACTAGTATAGAGAAGCATCATCATCACACTTTTTTAAACAATTTTTGTAACTTTTCATTCTAGTCATTTCCACCCATTTATTTGCGTAAACTTCCTCTTCAGACAAAACCTCATTGGCATAACCAGTGCTTTGCATGAAAGAGGAAACAGCTCCTTCACTCTTGTTTTAAGATGACTGAAAGACTAGGATTTCTGTATCTCTTGTTAGCATTGTGTAAGGATTGCTTTATTTTTAACAATAGTTTAATTTGTTTAATGTCACTCAACGTTAATTATTCTTAATTTCAGTCCATTTAGGGGTGCGAAATTCGAAGGAGCATGATGGTGTTAATGAGGATAATAGAGCTAACCCTCGTAAGTTTCTCCTTGAAATTCTAGACGTACATTTATTATATGTTATATTTATATTTTCTATTATTAATCTAATATTTTTCTATTAAGGCCATCACTTCATAAACTTGGTTGTGATGTGTGCTAAAGCATTTCTGCTGAGAATGCAGGACCATCTGTTCAAACATAATTAAAATATATATCAAATTTTAAAAGAAAAATGTAACTTAGAGAAAAGTTTTAATTGTTAGTCACCTTGGAAATCTGGTTGTATGTTATGATGGCAGAATGGCTGAGGATTTTGTGTGTCTTCTGTGCTCAGATTGCAGAAAAGAATATACATTTATTATTGCATTTTTATTCATATTTGGAATATATATTCTGAACCACTCCTAAAAACTGATGTCACTTCTCTGAATTGGAGAAGGGTATCTCTCCTTCCTTGCTGCAAATCGACTTTACTGAATCTTACTTTACTGAAATTACTAACATTTACTGCCTATGGATAATCATACTGTTAGATGTTATTCAAAGTTGAGAAAATTCACAAAGGACAAGAATATAAACGACTATATTGAGATTCAGCCTGCTACTGGTTGCCAAGAGAAGAGCAAGAACAAAAGTCAGCCGTTGCCATTCCAAGCAATTTGGCTTATTTACCTCATGGGCTATGACCTTGCATTACAGGCAGTCCTCTACTTGTGACCACAATTGAGCCCAAGATTTATGTTGCCAAGTGAGACATTTGTTAAGTGAGTTTTGTCCTATTTCACAATCTTGAAAGGTTGTTAAGTGAATCTTCACAGTTGTTAAGTTAGTGACGTAAGTGAATCCGGCTTCCCCATTGACTTTGCTTGTCAAAAGATCGCAAAAGGTGATCATAGGACTAAGGGACACTGCAACCATCATAAATATGAATCAGTTGCTAAGCATCGGAATTTTGATCACATGACCATGGGGATGGTGCAACGGTCGTAAGTGTGAAAAATGGTCATAAGTCACTTTTTTCAGTGCCATTGTAACTTCGAATGGTCACTAAATGAAGTGTTTGTAAGTCAAGGACTACTGTATTTATTTTCAATATTACAATTCACAATATTAATTGTAAATCACCTATCAGCAATAACTCAACAAGCCACAATTAACAAACAATGGTTTCACATGATATATGAACCCCACCCATGGTACCAAGATTATGATATCTGTAATTTTATATTAGGATAATAGCAAAATCTCATTATGGTTATTGATCAGAATACTCATGATGTTCAATTGCTCCCTTTTGATATCCGGTACACAATAAATAGCTATGATGACATATAAAAATGATGTCTGTGGAGATTCTCGACCATCTAGGTCAGGGGTAGGCAACCTTGGCTCTTTTATGACTCGTGGACTTCAACTCCCAGAATTCCTGAGCCAGCATGGCTCAGCTCTCCCTTTCCCCTCAGCATGGCTGGCTCAGGAATTCTGGGAGTTGAAGTCCACAAGTCATAAAAGAGCCAAGGTTGCCTACCCCTGATCTAGGTCATGGTTGTCCCACAGGTGTTTTTCTAAAAGCCAAATGGACTTTCTTGGTGTTTTCTTTGAAACCATTTCACCTCTCATCCAAGAAGCTTCTTCCGTTCTAACTGTCTGGTAGGGAATGGAAGGATCATTTAAGTAACCCAGTCCTATGCCATGAAGGGTTTTAAAGATCAACATCAGCACTTTGAATTGGATCTGGAAAGAGATTGGTAACTATTTCAGTCCGTAAAGCAGATGTGTAACATGTGTTCTACCACATACACACACACACACACATTTGTTCATTCCATTGCATTTTGCACCAGGTGATGTTTACGAAAACTCTTCAAGGGCAGCTCCATACAGAGCATCAAGTAGATTTTATAAAGACCATCACACACATACAACTCAATGTGTAAGTAAAATCAAGTGGGAGGAGCTTGAATGAAAGTTATACCAACACACATCAACATGCAGGCTGCTTGAAAAATAAGACTGGGGGCCGTGATGGGGAAGAGAGCTATGGGGGTCACCATTCCAACTTTAGAAGTCCCCAGATTTCCAATTTGGTATGGAGGCTCTCATTTAGATCTCAGACCTCCAACAACGGAGAGCTTTGGAGTGCTCTAGTGCTTACGGGCTCTGTGAAAATTCCTCCATCTGTATTACTGCCCTGTGATAATGTATCTAATGTCGAAAAACAGAGAAAGCAGGAATCACACAAACCTTCTATTGCCTCTGATGTAGAAAGCTTCTCAAAGCTGAGGTTAGCGTTGAAGAACAGCCAAAAGCAGAATGTATTTTTTTTATTCTGACAAAAAAGAGAAACTACCCATAAAATAAGTTAAGTAGGGTGTATTAATCTAGTTACTCTTGCTCATGATATTATCTTTGACAGCGGAATGCTGATAAAAAAAAAGCAGTAGTGAAGAAAAATCAGAGCTCCTAGAGATAAAAGTTTGATTTTCTAGATCAGAAACTTTCAGAGCTAAAAGTGCTAGCGATTTCTTCACACATAAAACAAATCACCCTTATTGAAAATTCTGATGATTAACATCATAGATGTTGGAGCATTGCTGAAAGCAAATAAAGATGTTCGAGATGAAATTATGTCTTTACAGGATCTGCATCAGAGAAAGAATTTTTTAAAAATTCCTTACAATAATGAGCAATATCAATCTTCAGTAGTCTTTATGAAAAAAATATGATGTGGGTTTTTTAAAAAAAAAATAGCAGTTGGAATATAGCTGGAAATTAAAACTGCTTATCACATGGATTTCCCTTTCCAATACAGAAATCCGTCTATATTTTTAAAAATTTCCAACACAGGTTCATATTCTTTTGGAGAAGGAGGATATTTGGAATGAAAAGCAGAAAGATCTGCTTCCAGAAATCATTCAGAAATGAAAACTATCCAACAAATCTCATTTGACAGCAAAACAACATTTTTTTCAGAGGGCTTTAATTATTGTTGTTTATCCCTGGATTATGGATTTGTTTCTTTATGGATTGTGGGTTTGTTTGTTTTTTGTTTGTTTGTTTATCCAGTAGCTGTAGAAAAGTTCATTGGCCTAAGTTCAGCTAATGTAAAGTGGTAGCAGTAACCTCTAATGAAACAATTGTTGTGCTGCTAACAGAAACATATATTAGTGGATTTTCATGGGAGGATAGCAAAGCCAAGCTCCTAGCTCATTATATCCCATCAGCTGAGACAGCAGATGGGTTCAGAAGACAACCATCTTGGATAACAGCAGACACAATGAGAGATAAATAGGGCAGAGAGGGGATTTGTATTTCTCAATTTATACACTGCTTCCCTTTGTGGCCAGGACTTTCTGAGGATGTGCTGAAGAGTCAGTGCTACTGAAGTTAATGCAGTGTGAATTGTTTGATAATCAGTGTTCAATTTATATTACAGAATCGCCTCAGAATTGTTCAAAGATCGTGAAGGTTATGAAAATCTACAGTCCCACACCAGAAATCACAATTGGAGGAAAAGTGACATTGGTGTGCTACTGGGAGACAGATTGTCTGCCAATTAATCACGTCTTATTTTTAAACAAAACAAGAGTACAAGGACCTGCACCACAGAGCATGAAGGAAGAAAAAGTTGTATTTAACATTACAATCCATTCCAGCATTCAACTGGGTCCATATAAGTGCAAAGCTGAGTACAGAAATATAACAGCATATAGCCTAGGTTTCAACTTTACATTAAGAGGTATGTGTATTTTCCAATAGGAAGGCCTTATTAAGATCACAAGTATGTTTTTAGAGGCAGCTTTGGGGGTGTTTCTTTGTTTTAGGTTTTTTTTGTGTGCTCTTAATACTTATTCTCAAAGAAATGGGGGAATGTTTAAGTCCTTTCACCTGATTAGTATCTCTGTCATTATAGCTGTGTCATGGCTCTAGAATCTAGACTACATTTTCTCCATAAATAGGAAAATATATGGAAAAGGCAGAGGGAATGAGATATAACAGTACTGGGAGTATCTCCTAGCCAAGTGAAGAGAGTCTGAAGCAGATAAAAAGATTGTTCAGTGAAGAATACTAAAGTTGTGTTGAAAGAAAAATCTTCACCAGGGTCCAGTCCAAGCCAGGAATAAACAAAATAGAGACTGCTTTAGAAAGAAGGTTCTTGTTTATTTAGTTGCCAGAAACTTCAGTGACAGTATCATGTTTCTGGGGTGGCTGACAAAATGGAGCTGGGAGTGCTGGGTTTTTATACCTTCTTGGGCTTTTGTATTTGGAGTTGTTCCTGTTCCTGGACAATGAACTTTGACCTGAGGTTCAGTGTGCCCTTTTGGTATTCTAATAGTGGTGGGTTACTCCTATTATGTCCTAAAGGTCATGTCTTTAGATTTTGGGTGGGGGATGTAGATTTTAGGGGTCTTTGTCTTTCTAATCCCATCAGCTCCAGGGTTCCTGGCTCCAGTCTTTCTGAATAGGATTATCAAATCTGCATTTCTAAAAGGTGGTTTCCTGAGTTCCTACTTGGGGCAGGGAGACTTGGGGGGCTGGTTTCTAAGATTTTTCTACCATATTATTACTTGGGGGAAATATAATATTCTGTCTTTTTAATATTCCCCCAAAATATTTCCTTCTCTAGAAGGGTAGGTGGGTGGGTGCTGACTTCCAACAGTTGTAACTAAGCAAGGTCTACATTATTTCAGATTTTCCATTCATAGCCTAGGAAGAAATTAGATTTTTCATAGCTTTGAAGGAGAGATAGTATTTTTTTCAAAGTATAATAAATATTTTATTTATTGTTATATAATAGTAGAATATGAAAGAAAGCAAGAAAAAGAATAATGATGAACAATGCAATATAGTATAATAATATATAGGCTCCTTGGTGCTCTTTGACCATGGTGTTTTCTTGCAGACGTTTCACTATCCAATTGCCCAATCTATTATATGATGATGTTACCTAGTTGGTAATGAAACATCTGCAAGAAACTAACCAAGCTCAGAGGGCACCAAGGACTCCACAGTTCAGAGAGCCACAAATATTCTCTTCTATGAACAATATATATCATTAAAATATAAAAAAGTAGTGAGTATAGATTTTTTTTAAAAAGCACAGTGAGAAATCTTTATAGAAACACTCCTTTCTGTTCCATCCATTTGTGCCCCAACTGCTAACCACAATTTAAATATTTATGCTTTACACTGAACAAGGATTGTTGTTGGTTTCTGTGTTAGTCTTAGAAACCATATTCCAAAAGGGTAGCCAAGACAAAGGAAATATCCATTTCTAGCTTTTTTTTCCTGATTTTACTGAGTAAAAATAACAACACACAATAACGAACTGAGGGGAGAATAGTAACCAGACCAATCATAATTCCCAGTTCTTACTTCATCAAAAATCAATGTTAGAGTCAGTTTCTGCCTGTATTTATCTTTTATCTCAATGACCCTTACAAACAACTATAAGGAACTTTAGTGGGGCCCTCACATTTTCTATTAGAAAAACATTACTTTGTAGAATTCTACATTGTAAATGCCAGAAAAGAAACAAAACAAGGATCCAGGTTCTTCCTCCCCGTTAAACATAATTTATTTTACTTTCTAGATTATGGCTCATTACAAGTCATTGTTATGTTTATTTTTGTTTGAATCTAATCCCAGTGAAATAAATTAATTTATTTATGAGGTTGCACAGATTCTGTATACTATTAAGGGGTCATAGTACCACAACATTCGAAAACTTCTGCCTTAAGCCACCGTGTATTTTTTACTTCCGCTTAATGGAATACATACTGAGACAGTACAGTATGGTTCTAAATCTTGATTTACAGCATGCTATTAAAACAGGTCAAGATTCTTAGTATAATATGTTTGCCCAGCCACTGATTTTGCTCCTTTTATGAATAGAGCAGAATTTTGCTTAGGTTCAGGAACTTTTAGTTGGGCTAAATAAGTGGAATTTTGCTGGATAGTTTGTCCCTCTTTCTCTGCACCCCATATCTCTTTAAATCTTGCTCCTGAGAATTGAGCATCTACTTGGGAATAACAAGGAGGGAAAGTCTTCAGACAGAGGAGAAAATTGATGGAAATTGCTGCTGTCCATGGATATTTTTTATTTTGTTCAATTGTGTCCAATTCTCAGAAACAATCTGGACAAGTCCCTGCAGGGGTTTTTTTAGCAAGGTTTTTCAGTAGTGGTTTGCCATTGCCTCTTTCCTAGGTCTGAGAGAGATGACTGGCCCAAGATCACACAGCTGGCTTCGGGTTTAGGAATTAAAGCTCATCATCTCCTGGTTTCTAACCTGATGTCATAACCACTACACCAAACTAGATTAATTAAGTAATAATTGGTGGAATATCAGTTTTAGGATCCAAGGCATTGCTGTTTAATTTATTTAAAATACCATCATACTTAAAGATAGATATCCATTAATATGATTGTTTTTCTCCTTCTGACAGCTGAAAGTAACAATCTAGCTGTTTTCATTGTGCCTCCTCTCATTCTCCTGCTGCTATTGATTGCAGCAGTTGTGACAATTCAACTATTGATCCTTCCTTGGTGTAAGGAAAGTGAGTATTGGCTGGGCTTGGTTTATAACTACATTCCTTTTGTCAGAACTATTTCATATCCTACAAATTTAGAGAATAGAACAGACATGTCAAACTCGCAACATCATATGACGTCGCGCAACGTATCGGGACGGTTTTGCCATTGCCGGCAATGGGGTGGGCACGGCTTCCGGGTGACATGTCCGTCCCACGGGCCGGCAGTTTGACACCCCTGGAATAGAGCATACTTGCAAACTGCTTCTCACAAGCTAACAGCTTTAATTTCCTTTACTTTTCAATTAAATTAGAACTAAATTTAGTGTACATAATTATAATATGCTCAGGCAACATGATTGTTTTGTGAGCTGCTCTGCCTTCCAGTGGGTTTCCAGGTGCAATTCGAGATGCTGGTGATCACTATAAAGGCCTACAGGGGAACCATATGTTGAAGAAGGTCCTCACATCTATAGGCATTTAACTCCATTTAATTAAATAGCAATAGCATTAACACTTAGACTTATTGTTCTGACCCAGACAGGACAACTTGCTTCTCTGTCCAGTCTAAGGCAGACAGACCACTCAATAGAAATGATTTTTAAACAGATAAACGTTTATTCCAGAAGAAATACCTGGGTCCACATAGGTAAATTTACATAGGTAAATTTATGTTGGATTTTCCCCTCTTCTCCCAAGCGTCACATGGTGGGTTGATTGTGGGATCTCCAGCCGTGTGGCTGCATGTGATGCCCAAAGAACAAAAGACTAACCAGAGGCTAGTGTCCAGGGATCCTCTCAATGCCCTTTGGAAGCTCCTCCCCCTGATCTATTACTAACTTTAGGGTTACATAGAGCTAGGTTACATAGAGCTATACGAGGTTACATGGATCTATGTGATCCAGAATACTTATATACCACTTCATGGTGCTTTACAGCACTCTCTGGCTGGTTTACAAATGTCAGCATAATTCCCCCCAACAATCTAGGTCCTCATTTTACTGACCTCAAAAGGATGGACGGCTGAATCAACCTTGAGCCCTGACAGGATCGAACTCCAGGCTGTGGGCAGAGATTTTGCCTGCAATACTGCATTCTAACCACTGTACCACCAGGGATCCTTGGTGATATGGTATATCATAAATAGATTTAACTACTAGTGTAATTTAAGGAAGAAATTAAATTTTGGAGTTTAACCAGCTACTATACTCAAAACTTCAAGAGATTGCATATAGCCTTGAAGACTCAGACTGAGCACCTCTGGTTTTCAGCTGGGAATCCAGGGTTTCATTTGATTTCATTACATTGTTTCATTTTATTTCATTTATATGGCCACTCAACTCACCAAAGAAACTTTGGGCAGTTAATATGGCATTAAAAATAAATAAAAATGAAAATGGTAATCAAATACATAATGTCACCTCCCAAGACAAGTATATCTAATATCCTGAACTAAACAACAGTGGAAAAGACAGGCTTTTCTGACTTCTGAAAGGCTATCAGAATTAGAGCCAGCCAATTTTTGGGGGGAGAGGGAAGATTTTTACAAAGGGCAGGTACCACTACAGAAAAGGCCTAGGTCCTTTCCTAGGTCCAACCAGATGACCTTGATTGAAAGAGAGGACATGGACTCCTCTCAAGAATAGCATCTGGGATGGGACAATACAGCTGGAGACAGGTGGTCTCACAAACATCAATCTTGTGCCACACAGGGCTTTGTAGGTGATCACCAGCTCCTTAAATAGTATTGTACATGGTACGCCCTTAATTACCTGTGCCGCTGCATTCTGGATCAATTGCAACTTCTCGATGATCTTCAAGTGCAGTCCTAAGCAGACCACATTGCAGTAATCTAACACGAAGAATATAGTTTTACCACAGAGTTAAAAAAAAACCATTGTTTACTTGAACCCATTGTTTCTACAACTGGAATTTCTTTTTCTTTCTTTTTCTTTTTTTTGCAGGGAAACTGAAGGCAGCTAATATTTCCACTGCATATGATGATACTGGTAACTGTCAACATTTTACTATTGCCATAAAATCTATTTCTTGCAAATGAATAAGAAGAAGGAAATATGTTTGAGTATTTGAAACAGCCCTCTCCTTGTCTTTGAGGGCAGAAACAACCTTTTAGGTGGATGTTGGTGCACCTGTCTTGCAGAGCCATCATTAAGATCAATTATTTGGTTTGCTACCAAAAATACTCTTTAGGAATAGAGTATTGGCCAAGCGTGACTGGACACGCAAGGAATTTGGTGCATAAGCTCTCAGTGTATATACAAACAACAAAGTGATAAGAAGTCATAGATCATAAATCATAAGATACCAATAGGAGAAGGTATTAGGAAAGATGAGAAGATGAGAAATGAGAAATATGAGAAGATGAGAAGGATAATGGCAATTCAGCCCTACTACATGGGTAGATATTCTTTAAGCATAAGACAGTGCCGTGGAAGTAAAGTTAGCCTCAAGATGGCGCTGCCCACACCAGCCTTGCTGAAATGCTCTCTAGTAATTTTAAAATACTCTTTGATTTTATACCAAATAAGCTATGCTAACCTTCCATCTTTCTGGATGTTACACTGAAATATTGGTTTAACTCCAGAGTTTCTTGCGTGTTTGTTGAAGCAGGAATAGAGCTGAGAGGCTACCGTCACTTAACCTTGGGCCTATCCTTTTCTTCCAGGGGAGAACCAACCTGACAATGAACACTGTGTGGGTAAGAGAACTTTCCATATAGTTTATTCAGTTTCTCCAATGTGCACCTATAGGAGAAAAGATCAATTTCCAAGTGCAAGAATATTATTTATTAAATTTTATTTATTTATTAAGACACTTGTCACAGAGCGGGGGATGCAGATTTTATAAATACAGTCTAAGTCCTCCTAGGTCCACAGAGCAGTGAGCCATCAACTGATCCTTCTGATCAGGGGTAGACAATCTTACAGGGGGATCTTGCTACTGTACAGGTAGTCCTCGACTTACAACAGTTCATTTAGTGACTGAAGTTACAAAAGTGCTGAAAAGGGGGCTTATGACTTTTTCGCACTTACATTGCAGCATCCCAGGGTCACGTGATCAAAATTCAGATGCTTGACAACTGGTTCATATTTATGACAGTTGCAGCACCCTGTCATGTGATCACATTCGGTCATGTGATCTCCTTTTACGACCTGCTGACAAGCAATGTCAATGGGGAAGCCAGATTCACTGAACAACCATGTTACTAAATTAACATCTACAGTGGTTCACTTAACAATTGTGGCAAGACAGGTCATAAAATGGGGCAAAACTCACTTAACAAATGTTTCACTTAGCAACATAAATGTTGGGCTCAATTGTGGTCGTAAATCGAGGACTACATGTATACCTGCCTTCTAAAACTATCCATGTCATGAAGTCTAGCCAACAGACACACTTTTCTGTGCAAATCCAGACAGAATATCAGAAAACAGTTGCTTTTATAAATTTATTCTAAATCTTCTTACACATGCAGGGCAATGTGCCATAAAGCAAAAGCTTCAATGCTTTCCTGGTTCGGGGACAAAACTCTACAGCTAGCAATTTGAGTGACCACACTGGGAATCTTTGGTCTTCAACAATGACATAGTTTGATTGATTCTTTCATATTAAGGAAGATGACCCCCTAACATTTGAACTCCTTCACTCGTTCCATAATGCTATTATTTCTCTTACAATGATACTTACTGCACAATTATTACCACTCTTGCTAAACACCTTTGCTTTAGTTTTGGCATTTACAACAATTTGCAAATTCTGCCTTAAGGTTGGGGTGCCTATAATTAGTAAGTGGAATAGAATGGTAAGGGCACCACTAGTTTTGAATCGATACAAGCAGGATAACTTGTAGGATTACCAGCCAGGCGGTTTTTTCTTAAATTTCAACTGTCCTCTGTAGACTCACCAGCTGAAAGCTAAAAGAACTGAGAGAGAATTAAATAAATACCACCACAGGAAACTCTAAGGTGGTGAGCGGGATACAAGAAGTAGGAATATCTCTTCTCTGTTTTTTCTTTCTCGGCCTGAAAGTTATGGATTCTAGATATATGGATTGATGGATTTTGCTAAATGAGAAGATAGGTTGTTTCCAGCTCAATGTATTATACAAGACTAGCCACTGTCATTGTAAAAATGTTTTTATAGTTTAGAAAGCATGCAAATAAAAGCAGATGAATAGGTACCACTTTGGTGAGAAGGTAACAGCGTTCCATGCGCCTTGGCGTTAGTCATGCTGGCCACATGACTATGGAAGCGTCTTTGGACAACATTGGCTCCCTTGGCTAAGAAACAGAGATGAGTACCACCCTCTAGAGTCATATACGACTGGACGGAGGAAACCTTTATCTTTTTTTTAACCTTTATAGTTTAGAATTATCTGTGCACCAAGCTACCATGTCTTGTTCAACAACTCTTGAATAAAACAAAACATAATTAAGTACGTTATGCGAACCTAGCCAATAATAATCTTGTTCTAGTTCAAACTAAAGTGTCCAAAGCAAAGGCTTTGTCAGACAATGTGCAAAGTGACCTTTTTCTTAACCTTGTTTATACTAAAATATAATTGATTGAGTTCACACAGCGTACTCTCCTGCAAGCTCTCCTGCAAGTTCTGTCACTTTCCAAAATTATGTGAACCAGCTATAATAAACAAACTATGGCCAAACATAATACAAAATCATTACAAACAATATATTACATGCCTTTCCAACAAAATCCATCACTGTTTGTATAGCAAATCATGATTGTAGTGCTATTTTAAGCCTACGGTTAGCAGGCCAATCAACAGAGTCATTTGCATTTTTAAATGCACTCCGATGCCTGCACAAACAAAGGGCATAAGAAGTGATAAACACCAAAAGCACAATTAGCTAACCAACCAATGTTAACCTTTTCGGTTTTTCCAAAACCTCCAAAAGAGTCAGCATTCATGCGACTAACCAAAACAAAGCATATATATGTACTGTATATAGAAAATGTTTAGGAGGAAAAAAATCCTATGTGGATGGTTTGCTAAACCTGTGTGGGGCCCATTGATGTTGAGACTTGGATGCCTCTACAAATGCCGTGAGTCCTTAAAGGTACTCTGGAAGCTCCACAATCAAGCAGACAAAAGAACTGACACAGTAAATACACACACACACACACACACACAAACACACAAACACATTTTATTAGACAGGCCAATCCAGTCAACTCAATCCTATATTAATAGTTTTGTATTTACAATGGGTTTCTTTGCACACAAATGAAGAAAAAAAACAAGCAGTAATTTACCTTCTAGGCCAGTCTTTTTCAAACTTGCCAACTTTAAGATATATGGACTTTAACTCCCAGAATTCCCTAGCCAGCATGGATACTCTGCACTGTTCTAGCTAGGCAGTTATGCTGTGAAATGACAAGTGGGAGAACAGCCAGCTCTAGAACAGTTCCCTCACAGCATTTAAGTATTTCTTAAATGCCTGCTTCTTTGTTCCAAAACTCCCATCTCCTAGTGACTTCCACACAGTCTAAGCCCATAACACAAGGGCATAACTTCCTGCTGTACCACCCAGAGAGGACTGCAAGAGACAAAGCAACTTCCAATCCTATCATCAAAGCAACAAAGAAAAGTACTCCTTTCCAAACAGCTGTATTGTATTTCATGCTTGAACGTGAAACCAGCCTGCATTATTTCATACTCAAACCAAAAAACTGTTTTGTTTCACGCATGAATAATTTTGCACTTGGATCGTTTCAGGTTTGAACCATTTTTCATATCCTAATTCATATGTTTGAAACTCTTTCGAAGAAACGTCACTTAATTTCTTACCCTCGTTATTATAACAGTACCTGATTCCTTTCTTGCATTATCATTCAGCTTATGGAGTAACCGAAGAACCTGAATATTGCAATATGAAAATGAAAACCAAGATAGAAGATTACAGATATGGTAATTTTAACTAGTGTGGGCCAAAAGCATTCTAATTATGTGTGAGCAATCATGTACATGCCTGTCTATGTCTATTTGATTGTTTGTTTAGTTATTTATTTGTTAGTTTATTTGTTTGATTTCTATAGCCGCCCATCTCAGCAAATGACTCTGGGCAGCTCACAATTCAAAACATATATTACAGTTAAAATTTATAAAACATTAAGACAATAAAAAGAGTAAAAAGCATTAGAACACTAAAAACATTAAAACGTCTAATTTGAAGTGGATACTCAAGCAAAATATCTGGCCTGTTAACAATATAGCCAGGAGGCATGTAGTACCCCAGGCTCAACAGCATAGCCAGGTTTTTAGAGCTTTATGGAAGGCTAACAGGGTTGGAGATTGGTTTGTGTACATTTGGGAAGGTGAAAATAGCCAATAATTGCAGAATATTAGATGGTGCTGCCTACCTAAACAGGGACATATCATTGCTTCCTAAAAAAGATAATGAAAAAATCCATATCAGAGCAAGAGAGCTCCTTGCTGTTTCAACTGCTAGCTTACATACACTCAGGATATACATGAGATAAATCATTTGGGCGTGAAGCAATGTAATTAAAATGCAGAGCACATAATGGTACTAAAATAAAAATTACCTGTAGTTCCCTAGAATTGGATGGAAAACCTGTGGTTTTCCAACTGCAACTCTTGGCAGCCACAGCTAAAATAGCCAATAGTGAGAAATTTAGTGAGTTGTAATTCAGCAGTCTGAAAAACTACAGGTTCCTTACTGTTGCTCAACCAACTGTGATTGGTTGAAAGTGAGGTCTATTTCTGAAATGTTGCGAGGTCATTCTATTTACTCAGAAATGAGTGTCATTGATTTCAGTGAGACTTCCAAATATCAGTTCCAGTTCAGTACAGCTGCAGACCTATACACTGCTAGGAGAGGTAGGCCTGAATCACCAGTATGTCCCAATGCAAATTACACAACTTTTAACAGTGCAATGGACATGCACCTATCAGTTTTCTGACTGGACAGGTATCAGCT